TTTTCTTTTCCTGCTATATTGTATAATAGAAAAATCTACTTTAACTTTTGGGAAAATCTCCTGGTTCATTATCAACATGTAGGGAGGTGGTATATGTAGAAAGTGCCTGATTTATCATGCATAATTTATTTTCTGTAGTACCAACTGGGTCATTTGCCTTTAAAAAAAAGCTTTATTTTTGGATTATTAATGTCTATCCTTTGTTGATAGTTTTGTTTCCTTCCTTTACGTAAAACAGAGAGCTACAGCATAATCCTATAAAAAAAAAAACACTAAAATTGCAGGAAGAACCTCAACATGCCCCTGAGTGGGAAAATTTGGTTAAATATCTTCTTAAATCTCTCCCAAATACTGTAATTTAAGGGGAACTTAAAATATGTTCCCTTATCAGGTTTTTGCACTTAATTTTTCATTTACATGGTACATTTCTTTTGTGCAAAATTCTTCTATACATCATTTAATAACACTTATTTGACAACAGAGTTTACAGCTCTGTCATAGAAACTGGAGGAATTGGAAAAATATTGGCATCTTTACAACCTAAAATGGGGAAAGGTTACACATTTACAAAGAAATCAAGGCATCATCAATACAATGTCAGGGACTCAATAAAAAAACTAAATGTTTTATGGTTCTAAATACTGCTCTTCACACTTTTTAATGAACTTTCATATCATGGTCCTATAAGTGGAAAACTTTCACTTTAACTTGATATATATAAAATTTTATATAAACTTTCACTTTAACTTGATATATATGAAATATATATATATATCATTACATTACAGATTCAAACATCCATTGGTGGTGTGTGTATCTTTCCAAAATAGAAGTTGACTAATGGAAAGTTAAACAAAATTCTGAATTTGATAGCATACTATCAGAAAGCAGCTAGGCCAAGGTTCCAGCAATGGCATTTAAAATTTACTCAATCTTCCTATGCTACATTTCCCACCTACACTGTTCTAGTAATGACTTGGCAATTCCACCTGACTATTACCATCCATGATATTGCAGATTATTCATCAAGATATATTGATGATTACTCCTACTATTTTAATCTGGATGTTATATCTAAATCAGCCAAAAAATAAATTATTTGGAAATAGTATAAAGTTAACAAAGCTTATTCAAATATCTTAATTTTCTCTCCATGTAAGTTTTGATACAGTTTACTGACAAATTCAGTTTTCAGTGATTTTGGTCATGATACATGCTTAAAACATCACAGGTGTTACTTAACAAATTGAACAATATATTGAGCAAAATAAGCTGGATTGCCTAGACAAATGTCACAGTGATAAGCCCAACCAACTATGGGACTATTAAAACTGGCTGAGTTTCAGCATTGTATTAACAGGGTATGCTCTATAGGGAATCTTTTGTTATTAACAAGACTGCAACATAATCTGGGGAAGGGAAGGTACCCTGAATTTCCAAAAGCCCTGAGTAACACAGGAAGTCTTGCACATCTTCAGTATACAAGGCCTACAGTTAATATTTTAACATAATACAGTTATTAATTTCCTGAATATATTATTTACCAATAACCAAAGGAAGATGCAAATGTTATAATCTACCTAATCACACTTTATCAATCTGTTCTGCTAAATTCATTCAAATGTGTCAGGCATTGAATATAAATGAGAAGATAATAAAACTTGTTGGGGGGGGATTGTTTTTCACCTTAAGTTACTTTTGTCTTTTTTTCCTGCAGGTGAACATGTGTACAAATAAGTCATTGCACTTCAATCATTTATGTTACTGTATTATTTTTTAAGCATACCAATAAGTGTTACCATAGGGCCTGAGTAGGGTCCAAAATAATCATGGAATTAAAGATGCTAATGGAGATTGACACTTTCCTTTTCATGTGTCACTTTTAGTAATAACAACAACAATATAATGTGGCTAGGTTCAGTCTTCTTGTCGATACTTATTTGGGTGGGGAGGAAAAAAGCAATTTCTTCTCTAACTTGTGCAGACTAAATTCTGCCTCTGTGAACTACTGAAGCTGTGGATAGGTGACCAGCAATTTAGTAAAATCAAATAAGCTTCTGAAGGGCAAGCTCCTTGATTCAGTAATCTGACTGGAGCAAGTTCTCAGAGATACTAAGTTTTTGCTTGTGTTTGGCATTTGCGCGGTTACTGGCACATTTATTCTCCAACAGACATCAGAAGGTGGCATAGTATTTTTCTCCCTTTGAGCCTCAGTATTGTAGTTTTCATTACATGTTTGTTTGTTTATTTTTTTTATTGCTCTGATTTCTTTGCTGCTCAGTTCCTGAAAGCTCCAAGTAGCTTACATCAACCAATAACACAGCATTAAAAAAAAATAGCAAAAACATAAATATAATCATTGTAACACATGTCAGCCTGATTCACCACCAGTCAAGGGTAGACTAATCCTTACTTCATCCCCAAATACTTCACTGAGAGCTGCTCTTCAGAAACCCAATATAGAGGGGATAGTCCAGAGAGCTGAGGGAAAGCTGTTTTACATTGTGTTATAAACGTCTTCTGTTATCTCTGTTATATCATTGCTATGTAACTATGGCCCACTAGAGTCTGAAAAGCATGGCCACATATTCTCAATTTTCAATGCCATTTTATTTCTTAGATTCCACCAGTAATGTGTTCCCCAACACCCATACTCACATGCACACTTCATGCATTGTTTTTTCATTGCTTTCAATATATTGATTAGTTTATTATTTCACAGCATAGCGGCCTAAGTTCCTTCATGGCACAGAGGCTATAAAAGATTCACACTTAAAAAGAGAAACTGAAACAAAACGTATGTGTATAAACATAGGCATCTCTAGGTTCCTGCTGCTTTTGTCAAGACAATGAAAGCAGCATTATGCCATTGCCAGGCAAGCTCCACCCCTTTGGCACATACATTACAATTCATGTTCAAAGGGGGCAGGGCTTCATCATGAGAGCATAATGCTGCTTTCATCAGTCTGACCCGTTTGGTGGATTCTTCCCCCACCCCCCACCCTGCTTCCAGGATTTTGCTGCATGTAAATTTACACTGAGAAATATTTGAAAGCTGCTGTAACTGATTATTGTCATAATTCTATAGGACACAATTTCCTGGGAACTTTTTAACTTGATTCGTTGGCAGAAATTTGATTTGTACAAAAGCATATGCTCCTATTCGCTTGAGTGGGGCATGTATAGGCATGCAGTCAAAATCCCTGTTCTAAAAAGAATTTTTTTTCCAGTGAGACATAGAAAGGCTGCCTAATAAGGAATCAGACCACTGGTCCCTTTTTTATGCTGGCCGACAATGAATCCCTTGGGTTTCAGACATTCTTTCCCAGATCAATCTGCAGATACCAGAATCTTTCTTTATTTTCTATTTTGCATTTTTCTTTTCTTGTATTGTACCAGATAGATAGATAATCTCAGAATATATTGAAAATTAAATACAGAAAGTTAAAAATAGAGGAGAAGAGCGAGATTCCTTATGGAAATAGGTTGCAATGCTGCATGGCTTTGATACAGTGTAGAAGAAAAGGATAGTACCTATCTTAGACAAAGAATCAAAGACATTAAATTTTAAAACATCCTAAAGAACATTAATTATTTTCAGACATTCTCTGATTCCTTAGACTTAATGTTTTTTTCAGTAATGCTTTTGTGTCATGGGAAGAGCTGCTAAGCCTTCCAAAAAGTGTTAAAATTAAGGGCATGTGAAGACCTGTTCAGAAAAGGATTAAGCATGTACATTGACCCATCTCTAGAACGGGATTGACATTTCAAATGGTACAAGAAGTAAGTGTATAAAATACCAAGTTCAAAGAGTTCTAGTCAAATGATCTGGATGGAAACATCTGTCTGACAAAAACATCTGTCTGAAATTTGGAGAGATGCTAAGTCACAGTTGACATTATGAGGCAAGACAGATAAAAGGTTTAACTAGGTAACTCTGTTCACATTTTATGCTGCAAACATTGGAAGTAAGAACCAGTACAAGAGGATTTAGCAATGTTTCACTTCATCCTGCCCTTGGTTTGTGAAAAAGATAAGCATTGATTTGCCCAAGTGTCACTCTTACGATGGCAATTGTACTGAGAACCTTGAAGCAATAGTTTGTTAACTTGCTGAATGGCACCTGTGCCATTAGTTACTAATTTCCATGTGGAATTTATTATGAGAAGATATGTGAGTTTGAAAACCTGGTTAAGCTACGAAGTTCCTATATTCAATTATCCTTTCAAGGTTTTTTCTTAAATAGCATTAGTTACTGTAGAGAAAGAGTGATATTTTGCAACTATACAACTTTAAATGTACAAAACTGAATAAACAAGGACTTTGACATCTGCTGTGAGTGCAATGTCAGTTCCAAAGCTCAATCTTGTCATTTAACTTTGCATTTTTCATGGAATTGAAGGAATTTAGTTTGTTCATCTAAAAAACCTTCCTTCCTTCCTTCCTTCCTTCCTTCCTTCCTTCCTTCCTTCCTTCCTTCCTTCCTTCCTTCCTTCCTTCCTTCCTTCCCTCCCTCTGTGGCATAGATACCTACTATGCCCTCATCAGCAATTTGATTATTTGGAAAGATTCATTTACTGATTCAACAAGTTTTAACGCTTAAATTCCAGTACTGTTTTACAAAGCCCAACTATGCTTTATCCATGTAACAAATGTGGTGCCTTGCCTGGGCATTTCATAAGAGAATTGTAACTTAACCTCATCATCTGTTACCAGAACTTATTTATTTATTGCTTGAACTTGCCCTCAGCTATTTGGATAAGCTCATCTGCTGAACGACACATCCAAATGCCTTAAGGGCTTCTTCTCCAACTCCCAATCGGCTTCCTTCAGCTGTAACAGAGTACAGAAAGGGAAAAGATTGTGCCTAGTCATCACCAGATTGGACTGGTGATCACAGAAGCACTGAGAAGTTAAAACATCTTCATAGGCTGATGAAGTCTGAAGCTATTTTTGCAAAGCATGTCAATGTGATAAATACATGTTTTTATGATTTCTAGAGATCCCATTGGTTTTATACTTATTTGCCCTGATTTCTATGACATGGCTATGGGGAGGACTGCACATGGCTTACAGGCATCTATGGATGCTGGTCTTCTTCGTCATTTTCAACAGTCTACAAGTAAGTACTTAATATATTTATTATCTTCTATTTTAACTAAATCAAAATACTGTATGTCTAATTATGAGAGCAAGTGTGTAAGAAGGCAAAGTTATATAGCTGTAAATAAAAAATAGCAATACGGCTGGTACGTATTGTCACACAACTCAAAACACATATGCACCTGTTCTTTAATATAATATGTGGTTCTGGTGAAATGAGTAAATACTTAAGCAAACAGCATGGGAATAAAAACATAAATGTTTATATATTTATACTCATTCACTTGGAAATAGGGTTCAGTTGAACTTAAATTTCAACTGAGAAGTAGCAAAGTATTTTTCCATAAAGTAACTGAAAATGAAATCTGCTGTATGAAGCAGAGTAAAGTAATCAGCATGTGAAACCTATTTAAAAAAAAACTTTATTGAAATATTAAAAATTTAGGTAGAACTTGCATGGGCAAAATTTAAGGGCAAAATAATTAAGAGTTTGTGCATACAGAAAGATTTTTCAAAATACCTGCTGTAGTATTTGGATCTTTGTCTTCATGTACTCAACTCAAGAATGAAGAAAAAGCAATAGCAGAGAAGTAGCTTCTTTTTTAGTAACTGTGGGTTGGAAAATATTAGAGCTGTAATCATGTTTAACCAACTAATTGGATAGATTATAGATTGGAGACATTTTAATTAAATAAGAAGACTTTTCTAATTAAATAGCCAACTCATTTTTAAAAGTCTTAATTATTTTGAATATAAGTACTTATAAAAATGGCACATGGCAAGTGTGATCTTAGAAGAATTTTCCCCTTGCTCTCACTTTAGAAAATGTGTTTCCTAAGAAACTACTTGCTGCAATAGTTAAGGACACCATTTAATAACAATGAATTGTGTAGATTTTTTCCCCAAAATTTATATAAATTGAAGAGACAGTTACAATTAATTGGATTGGGTAACTGAAATAGCCATATAAAATGCACTACATTTCACTCTTAAACTTGGTGCCTTCTAGCTGTTGGGCTTTAATTATTAACACCCAACTTACCTGTTTAGGGATTATGAGAAATTTAGTGCAACATAACTTGAGGCCACCAAAATAAGGAAGGCTAACAAAGTTAGCAAAAATCAGCCTCGGTATTCTCCTATCTGTATTTGTTCATTGATTTTGATGGTACTTATTCTAAGTAAAATGAAAATCCTATGATTTTAGCTGGAACTAAATCCCACTGAAGTGAATTAAATTTATTTTAAAATAGAGATGTATAAAATTGGACTGTAAGTCTAACAATTACAGCCTAAAATCTCTATGTTACCACTGCAGTGGCATGGCTAGTAGTGATGCATTAACAAGTTGCCTTGCATTTACAGTGGGTCTTGACTACAATGAGATCTTATACCAATTCTTGGAATCACACAATGGAACAATAATAAGATTATTTCTTAATGTAGGCATGAGTAGGCATTTTTTTATTTTATTTTTTATTTACATATGCATTTATTTACATATTTTATTTATTTTTATATACATATGCATAGCATCTTTTCTTTGCCTCTGCTGTGACAGAACTACAACTGTACGACAAGTGCCATTTCAAGGGACTTCAGATGACTTGCAGGAGTAGTTCCCAAAGTCTTCTAATATAATAAAAACCCTTGGGATGTACACTTTTAATGTAATTCAAATATTAATAAACTAGTTAATTAGTTTAGTTGATAGTTTAGTTTAAACTAAAAACTAAACTTAGACAAAGCAACTCGAGAAAATTTGACTGGCAAACTAAAAAACCTTTTAGATAAAATTATAATGAACAGTACTGTATATGTTAGCATTCTGTTGCTGTAAATCAGGTGTAGATTTACCTTTGTAGTCACTTCGGATTAGAGTAATGAGAATTTAAATGACAAATGTAAGAACACTGAAGAAAAACTGCATATATACATCAGCTGGGTTTGAAATACTTGCAATAGATCAGCAAGGGATTTTGGTTGAAACTGGATAGCTTAATAAGATAATCAACCCAGTATGCAACTGTATTGAAAAATAAATGTATTTAGGATCACTCAAAAGAGAGTCAGTAATTAAACTGTTGAGCACACAAATACTTCATATATTTTTTTTACCAGTTCTGACTTGATCTGATAAAAGAGCCTTTCCTTTAGATTTTTTTTTCAAAGGAAAAGAAACTTCTGGAGAAATATTTATTTATTTACAATCATATCCTGCTTTTCATTCAGGAGCTCAAAACAGTATATATAACTCCCTTGTCCTGTTTTTCTCATAACAATAGCCCTGTGAGAAGGGTTGGGCTGAGAGAGAATGACTGGCCCAAAATCATCTAGTGAGCTTCTGTGGCTGACAACAAACTAGAATCTGGTTTTCCCCATTCATAGTCCAATGCCTTGTAAATAGTTATGGTGGAATGCAGTGGTCTTGCACTTAATCTTGGGATGGACAAGGTTCATGGGTGGATGTCCTGTTTTTACTGTAAAGTCAGGCACAATGGTCTCCAACCTCTCTAGCATCTCATGCTTCAGACTATCAAGGAAAAACAATAAGAGAGAATTCCGTCATTGGCTGTTTTGGTAGCTACACTGCTGTTATTCCTTAAGGAGAATTTTTTCCCTTGAGAAATTACTGGAGAACTTTTCCTTTCCTTGGAAATATTTGGAGAAACAGTCTGCTCAATTTCTCTGCTGACAAATTTGGTCGCAAAATTTGAAAGAAAAATTATATCCAGCTGTGCCACTAATATTGTAATGCCATTATATAAATATATAGTTGAACCATATTAGAATAATTTCCACAGCATCATAGTCTCTTACTCCCCAACTCCTTAATTTGCAAATGATTCTTCAAATCTGCTGGCTTGAAAATGTTAAAGACAAAGAGCAAAGTCATAATCCACCTGAGCTGCCACAGGTCATGCAATAGTAAAATCTTTTTTCTGCTTCACAAAAATGAGAAATAAAATTGTGTGTGCTCCATCCTTACCCACATTCTACTTTATCTTGCATGCATGTTTCTGTTATGTGCCTAAATAAATAAAGTCGTAATAATTTCTGTGAGGAAGAGTTGAAAAGTCATCAAGCCATCTTTATCCTTCAAAAACCTGAAGCACAACAGCTTGATGAAGCAAAAATTTCTGCATATGAGTTGGCATGGTTTCAGATATACCACAGCAGAAATAAATTACACTAGGTCTCAAGCACAATGAATTCACTGAAATTTAGAGCTGTTTTCAAACTGGGGCAGAATTCTTGTATGGATATTCTTGTATAATATTACAAACAATTCTTTGTGCTGCATCTCAAAAAGAATCTTGCAAAACTGAACAAGGACAACACGAATCACAGATTAGAGTAATTCTCCTACAAAGAAAGGTTTTGACAGCTGAGGCCTTTTCTTAGGGAAAAAAAGAGGTAGTATGATGTGTGGAAGTATTAGTAACCAGCATAATTCAATAAAGCTAAATGGTGGAAGATTCAGAAGAGAGGAAAAAGATGTAGTAATTATGACTGACGTGGACAGGTATAAAAGAAAATTCAGCAAATACCTGGAAGATAAATGTATATGAACTCCAGTTCGGCAGCATGTCCCTTAGTACTAGTTGCTGGAGAACATGCTTGAAAGGATGCAACTGGGTTCATATTCTGATATGTCAGGCTTTGATTGGACAGTATGAGAAGAGAATGCAAGGAGAAGGATTTTTGCGCTGATCTATTTTCTACATTTTACCACCGTTTATATTCAAAACTTTGTGTTTCATTTAAAATGGAAAAAGGGGCTACTGACTTCCAGTGACAGCATCAGGGGAGAAGAGGAAGGAGAAAAATATGTGAGGTAGAGATTTTCTCATGAAGCTAAACTATGATTTAGCAATTCATAAATGAGGATTTAGCATTAAGGGAATGAGTTTATTCTTGGTTTAACATTACATCCAAATGCAGCAAATGTATTATAAGCAAAGTGAACAATCTAGGTAATTAGCCATAAATAACCTAAATTTACTGAACAGCATTTTTGTGTTTGAAACACTGATATATTTTTCATCTCACTAATTAGCAGTAGGTAGAGTGAACTTGAGGGATATAGTCAGCATAGGAAAATGTCTACTATGCTGCAAATCATACTCTCCAAAATAAATATGACACAAATATCCAGTCTCCAGAGTGTTCTTCATAGATTTAATCTCAGCCTTTACTCTTTCTGTAACAAAGAGCCAAACAAATAAATTAACAGTTAGCAAGTTGCAATAGAATCAAATTATAATAATGTTCAAAGATCTTGTAGAGAAACATGCAATTTTCTGCAGTCTATATGTTGTCCTGGTAACTTCTCTTTCTTCAGTTTTTGATTTTTAAAAAATGTAGGTTTTTCAAAGCTGTTGTTTATTCTGCATTTTTGCATTCTTTCGTTTGCTTCCATTTGGCTAACATAAGAGGCTAAATGGCTCCCTTAATTCTTGATGCTGCTCAGATCTAGCTATTTTCAGATCCATAAAATGGTCTGATATATTGGCAGTGAATGAGCCAAAACTAATTATTGAGAATAATTAAGAACGGGACTAAAAATAAAAGAAAATAACACTCATTATTATATTTAAATACACTGATCTAACCCCGTTGGAATATTTTGTCATTAAAAAAATTACTAAATCTCTTGGAAAAGACAAAGCCCCTTCCGCAGGCCACTGGCTTAACCCTCCTTATGAGCACTTTTTCCATTCCTGTACAGTACCCAGCAATAGGAGATAATCAGTGGTGATCTGAGAAGAATATGTGCTTGGTTTAGGCAGTGTTTCTCAGCCATGGCAACTTGCATAGTTATGGATTTCAATTTCTAGAATTTCCCAGCCTGCATGGCTATTGTCAGTATTCGGGGAGTTGGTCCCCACATCTGGAAGCGACTAACATTGGAGAACACAGTTTTAAGGAGTTGCAGAGGGGAGTTGTATGTGCAATCCTGTGTGCACTGAAGCCCCTTTTTGCCCTGGATTGCAAAACACTGTGCAGACATAATGT